CTAAATTTTCTGAGAACTCGAAAGAAATACATTAAAAATTTTCCCAGTAAACACGTTGATTATCGAACATTATATGGATTACATTTTGCAATAAGGAACCACTATCTCTGGCTCTTCCATAAAAGCACCTTTCTGCATAGGGAAACCAGTGGCATACATGTTGTTTCTAAAATGAGCCAGAAATAGTGGTTCCTTATTGCAAAATGTAGTCCATATGGCAACGCCTGCAGGCTCATACGGCGTTTTTCCTTAGAACGGAAGTTTTAGGACCCTTAGTCGCTTCATGAAATTCCATGCAGATGGATCCCTTCCGTTTGATGACGCCCAATTTCGGCGGGTTCCTGGAATAACGTCGGTTTCCGCGGATCGGCATTGTCGGTCGGCCGGTCGTCGCGATTAATATCAAGGAAACGAGACCGTAGAGGGGCGGGNGGGGTGGGGGGGTGACGAGGTATAATAATTACACCAAGGTTGGAATAGCAGCATGACGCCTCTCCTCGCGCCTGATTGAAATTCGCCAACCGGGAACGACGATTTCAGATTGCATTACGTGGCGTGCATTGCGATATATCGATTGATCTACCATTTCAACCTATGGAAAAGGATCGATAAACAGGGTGTTCGCAACGAACACCTAAATAATCGATTCTATACCACAGCTTCAAGTGGAATAATATCGATAATCGATCTTTTACGCCTGGTCACTGTTACTACCGCGATGAAAGGAAGAGCGCCGTTAGAGCCTTCGGATGTTCGTCAAATGGACTACATTTTGCACTTAGGATTTACAATATCTAGCATATCCCTGAAACACTTCCCACTTATGTGCATGAGGAACTTAACGGTACATTCGATGTTTCTACACTGCGCTAGAAATTGTGGTACTAAATGTGTCAAATGGACTACATTTGGCAATCAGGACTTGCAGTTTCTGGCTCATCGGTAAAAACACTTATGTGCATAGGGAAACTAATGGTGCATACGACGTTTCTAAACTGAGCTAGAAATTTTTGTTCCCAGTTGCAAAATGTGGTCCAAATTTCCTTTGATACAACAATTTTCAAGGGAACATATGAATATCAATTCTTGAAGATTCACGAAATTCTATTCGTGATTTTAACTAGGATATTTGAACATTTTAAAGAATTCTACCCGTAGAATCTGACAACACCAAAGAGATACATTCACAACTTTCCTAAAAAATAAAAAATTCATCGGAAAGAAGTGCCGCGCCTGTCGTAAAAGTGCCCCTTTTTGGAGAGAAACTCGGGGGATTTTGTTCAAATGTAACCTGAACGAATCTTATGACACGACAATGCCACAGAAAGTTTCAACTTGCATTCAAAGTTTGTTTTTAAAAAAATACAGCGGAGCAAAGCTTACATGTTTTACCATCGAAAAATGCTAACAATTCGAAGTTTTTCGATTGAAGAAAAATATTCAAATCCATAATCCATATTAAAAAACACTCGAAAAAAAGATCAGTCGGGAGTATAATTTTTATTCCACCTTCATTTACTGAGCTCTTTCCCCATTCCTCCTCGATCTGCACCAAAAAAATATGCGAAGCATTTCAAAGGATCTTTCCAGGAAAATCTCATTAAAAGGCAAGTCAAGAATGAATGCACAGTAGGGGGTATAATTTTTATTTTCCACCTTTATTTACTGACTTATTTCCCCATTCTCTTCTCGATCTGCACTGAAATAATATGCGTTACATCTCAAAGGATCTTTCTAGGAAAATTTCCGTTCCAGGCAAGACAAGAATGAATACATGTCTCCCTTTTAGAATGATCGACAAAGTCAATTTTTTCTTCAAAAAAACAATTTACGACTCCCACCGGATTATTAATAAAATGTATCTTCGGTAATTTTTTCTGAAATTGAAAATCCTGCAGAAGTTGTTAATATTTATATTCTTATTCAGAAGTCTTCTTGGAAAAGAAGATATGAGTTTAAAAATAGAAAATAATCAAGTTTCTCCTTTCTTTGTCTTGTTTCTTTCCAAACGCAGCCTTTTTGCAATACACATGGAAGTATAATTTAACCATCAGATAATCTCTAAATAACACTAACACAAGAAAAGAGGGGTAGAGGGGGAGGACACGCCTCTTTGAAGACATTGAAGAAAGGGGAGAAATACAAAGATGCACGACCTTGTGGTCCAGCGATTGCAGGTTTTAACTGAAAACCAGATTTTCCCTCTCTACAGCTCTCTCGCAACTTCTGAGGAACAAATGCATACTAATGAAGAAAGGATACTATCTCGTGACATGGTCGCGTGAATAATAATAAATGTGTCCTTGCGAAACTTGTCGGCTACGAGGGGAGACAAGAGAAAATTTTAATTTTTTTAGACCTTCCACTGGAAACTTGGTCGAGTCACACCTTCTCGCAAACCAACCTTCTTTCCAAGGTGAATCATTTGCAATCAAAGTTTGTGCCCTGATTCTTATCATTAGGAAGCACCCTCCGAAAGAAGTAGCCCGGAAATAGAGAATTTGTAGGTGTTTGAAATTTGAAGAATTTCGTGTTTAAGTGGAAGCTACGGAGTGAACTGAACACGAGGATACCCTTGGTTCATGAATTGAACAATTATTGGAGAAGATATGACAAAATGAGCTAATTTGCTAAAATGCGTGTGTTTAAATTGAAAATGCCGCTAGATTACGTCACTAGGCGGTGCATTTTCTCACTTTTAAATCTTTTTTTAACATATTTTCCATATCAGAAAAAAATTATGAAAAATACCGTGAAATCAGCTCTTTAAGCACTTTCAGAAGAAGCAATGAAAAATTTGCATGCAAATTCTCCATTACGCCCTATTTCCCTTTATATGTTCAAAAAATAATTTTAAAAAGCAATTTTGGTGGAATCGCTTGATACTAAGAAGTTTCCACCCTTTAAGAAAAGTATTCTGTCAAAAACTCACTTCCTCAAAATTCAGCGGTTGCGTTTTACTTCAAAAGGACCGTGTTAGGCAGAGAGGAGCCTAGTCACATCAGCTATTGCCTCGTTTAATTGGGCAATTCAATTTTCCAAATGTAAAGGGTTGTGCGGATTTGTGTGCAAATTTCAGTGAATTTTCTGCGGAGGGCAAAACAAATTCCTTGAAATTTTCAAAGAAATCCGCACACACATTATTTTTTAAAAAATTAAATTGTTCAGTTAAAGTCGGAAATATCTGACGTGGCTTGGTTCCTTTCTGCTTAGCGCGGTCCAAATGACCCGTTCAATTCAGTACCTTTCCGCTAAAGGCTTGACCCTTCGATTTGCAGAAGCTCGATAAAACTACTGGAAAAGCTGATTCACCCATTGAAACTGAGTGGATCAGGGCACTTGCCGCGGAAGACCGATAAAAAAGCTTGATTTTCCACTGACAAGGCTATTTAAATGCTCAAAAAATATGTTAAAAAAGCAATTTTGGTAGAATCGCTCGGTAGTAAGATGCGCCCACTCTTCCGGAAAAGTACTCTGTCAAAAGCTCAATTCCTTAAAATTCGACAGTTGCACTTTTTCCAAAGAACCCGTTCAATTTCGTTCCTTTTTGCTAAAGGCTTGACCCTTCGATTAGCAGAAGCTCGATAAAACTACTTGAAAAGCTGATTCGCCCATTGAAACTGAGTGGGTCAGGGCGCCCGACGCGGAAGCCAGATAAAACAGCTTGAATTTCAGCGTTCCCGGTTCCGGATTGGATCCAAAAGTGAGATCAAAGAGATAAAAACAGCCAAATTAAGTTGAATTCGGACAAACAGCGTTTTCGGAGCATGATCCGTCTCGTTACGGGGAATTATTTAAATTCGCGGGCTGATAATCAGTTGGCGGACGCGGCGCCGGTTAACATGTGTAATAATTGCGGAACTCGTGTAATCCTGTTCACGCGAAAAACACGCAATTACGCTCTTGTTGGAAATAGAATCACGAGATTTTATGGCGCCTGGGTGCATCCATCGTCTTATCTAATGTCCATTGTTGACGATTAGCTCGGGAATACTGAGAATTATTCCTGCTGATTCTGCACTTTCAGAGAATCTATGAATGGGTTGCAGTATGCAGAGAGGATCCAAGAACATTCCAATGTTGCTAGAATTGTATAAATTACATTCTTTGCAAAAAATTTTTTGAGGTCATGCAAAAAATTAAATTTATGAAGGTAATTTACGTCTGCAATTTAAAGTTTATTGGGAGTAAAGATTAAACTTCACTGGAAAAAAAACACATTGGATCTAGAGTCCAGACTCTTGAAAACATTGACAAAAAAATACTCTTGATTCTATCAGATTTAAGCTTAAATCAAAAGGAAACCCGCTCAAATTAAGAGGCTTGGTTCTTGATTTAAGCTTAAATCTGATAGAATCAAGAGTATTTTTTCTTGTAGATGTTTTTAAGAGTCTGGACTCTAGACCCAAGGTGTTTTTTTCCAGTGTTGTTTAGATGATCGGTTTATTTTGGAAGGTAAAAAAAGTCGCACCTTCTTAGCGACATTGGATTGTTCTTGGTTATTTTTTGCAAAATGCAAAAGAAACATATCATCAGAGTCTTAAGGGTAACATGGATCCCATGTAGCAAAAAGGAGCAAGCGCGATTTCAGTGTTTTCAAAGCCATGCAACTTTTTCTTTTCTTTTGAAAATACTCAATATGTGTACAGTATTTAAATTTACACAATTATTTTTCTTTAAAATTAACAATTATTTGGTGGGAAGCAAAAATTATTCGCTATTCAAGGAGATATTTCTGATCATCATGAAGAAGCAACATTTTTACTACACTGTAATTGCGCTGTCCTTTTTGCGCAATGCGATCCACATGGAAGGGCGGTACATCGATTGAACAAATTACTTTTCAAAGGGCATAAACTGCAAAATTTCAAAAATGGAACTTTAATGGACTATTATTGCCTTAATTTTTCTAGCAGGGATTCTCCCAATCTTCGCTATATTTATTTTTGAATGCAGCAGCTAACGTCGAGAGACTGTTTATAATTAAATTTTTATCTTACAATTATTGCTCGATATTATCCAGTGAATGTGCGCTATGTGCAGTCTGATTTGAAAACTTTAGGATTACATACCTGGAACAGACAAAAATAAAAAATAATTATTAAAAATATAAAATCAAAGTCCTAACACTCATGGTTTAATACAAACATAAGTTTGACGTGAATCTGCGGGTGTTGCATCCGTCGAGAGTCCAACACATAGATTAAAATTATAAAAATAATTTCATGAAACACCACTTTCATCGCTAAGCATATCCAGAGACACAAAATTTCAAGACATTTTAAATGATTTTTTTAATATAAACTCACGACTCATTGATTCAGTATGCCAGGAAACACATAAAAATGGCAAAATTGGATTTAATCTTTTTTTTCTCTGGGAAAAATAGGAGAATCAAAATTTCGAAGCTTTATTTACCGAATCCTCGGGTAATTGTTGCGGATTGCATACGCAGCCCCAGAGGAATAATTGAAAACTGAAAGAAAATGGAGATTCACATTCCAGTAAAATGAAATTTCAGTCCGTGTTCATTTTGCAACTCCTAGCAAATCAGAATGAGGAGGCGTTACGTTCGCTTTTTACCGGCCGTCCGGCAACACTGTAGAAGATATGAATAGTGATGTTCACGAAAAAATCCGTATTTACCAAATCCATTGCGTGCTAAAATAACAGTTTTCAATGCGCCTTCCGCCCTCACTCTTAATGACCCCTCGATTGATAACCTGAATCCCAGGTGCCATATCCTCTTCCGTGATCTACGTCAAGCGTGTTGAGGTTCTTCATGTCAGTAGTGCCGTGCTAAGGAAGAACGCCGTATGAACATTCGAGAGTTGCCAAATCTCCCCGAATAAAACATGTGTTTTTGAAAAAAGCTGTGCAAATTTTTCCTCTAAATTTTTAGAGATTTTAGATTAAATTGCGAAAAAAAAGTCGGAAAATTTTTTAAAAACAAATTTATACTTTCCACCATAAATTCGTACTTTATCAATGGAAATATGGAAACGTCTGAAGGCTCATACGACGTTCTTCTTCAGCACGGCAAAGTATAGTGGTCTGCGTCCGTCTGACGCGCGAATCTGTGTCCATCGTATCATTAGCGTGTTTATTAGCACCCGATTTTATTCGCCACGATTCCGTGAAAACAGGACGTCCCGTGGCGTCATTTTGACGTCACGGGTAATCGCTCCGAATTCGAGTGGAGTTGTAAATTTTCTCGACAAACAATTACCGCCCATTCATGAAATTCATTGAGAGATCTGGGAAACGCTCTGCTCATACTTCATGTCATGATGTTGAAATCTCTAAGCTGAGTAGTGGAGAACATTTGGACGTATTTCTGCCAAACGGAACTATGTGCATTATGACGTGAGCCCTGTTATGCATATATACAAATGGGCCTCAGAGCTCATGTCTGAATGCACATAGTTCCGTTTGGCAGAAATACGTCCATTTCACGCCGTTGATGGACACGTCTTCGGCATTTTCGAGGAAAGATGAAGTTTAAAATTTCTCATTTTAGTTTTAAAGACTGGAGCATCACTGGACTGAGAATGTTACTCGGTAGGTAGGGCTACAGAACATTTGATGGTTAAACTGCAAAAGTGCATTACACGGAAAACACGATTTTTCTAAAGAAAAAAAATCACTTTGATCGACGATTAAAATTTCGTATGAAATCAAACGTCTGGAATACATCCTAACTCTTCAGAGAGACACCCTACGACAAAGTAAGCAAGGGCGAGGCGTGAATCATTGATTATCGATATTCGAATGATGTGATGATGATATGATTATGAATATGATATGAATATGAATGATATGATTGGAATGATGATGATTCGATATATGAATCGAATATTAGGGTGTTCGTTATCGATCCTGTTCCCTTGGTTTTGGCAAATAAATCCATGTATCGCAAAGCACGCCGCGCCACTGAAAGTAATTTCCAGTATAGTGCCTTGTTGAGGAAGAACGCCGTATGAACATTCGAGAGTTGAAAAATTTCCCATGATAAAACATGTGTTTTTGACAATATTCATGCATATTTAGCCTTGAAATTTTCAGATATTTTAGATTAAATTGCGTAGAAAAACTGTCTGAAATTTTTGGGAAATAATATTCGCAATATTCCCAGTAAATTACTGGGAAACTTGGCAACGTCTGAAGGCTCATACGGCGTTCTTCCTTAGCACGACGGTATAGTCCTGCGATTAACTTCTATAGAAACCGAAATAAATCGAGAGATAATGCGTAAAGTCTGTAGACTTTGCCAGGCTCCGATACCAGACTCGTTCAAATGATAATGTTAAAAGGGGATTAATCCAAACACAAGGAGTATCGTAAAGACTAATTGTAATTTCGCGCGATTTTTGAAAACTCGTAAACTCCTTAATCTCATTGTTCATCGATTAACATTAAGGTAGTTCCCGAGAATCTCGCGACTTCATATTCAATCGTTGGAATAATCCGCTGTCTGCTCGGTTACTATGAACGCCTTTTCAAGATGATCGGAGCGTTATCAGCTCATCAAAGATTGCTTTACGATGAATATTGAGTGGTGAAGAAGACTCGCCTTTTAACGGCTGATATGTAATTTTAATCGGCAAATACGTCAAAGTGCCAAACTCGAAGCAAAATTCCATAAATAATTCTCACGGTAGAATTACTTAATTTACGACGAGAGAAACTTATTTTCATACTTCTATCGGGCAAATTTTATTATTCTGCCCACACCAATTTAAAATATGGGTGGGACCATTAGAGAGCTAACTGTGCGAACTCACCGAACAGTTTCATTAAAAAAAGATTAGAAGGAGACTGTTGACTATTGAGCGAATATAGTGGCTTAATCCACACAAAACATGAACTGTGACAATCATGCAGTTTTTTTCTGGTGTATGCTCGGTATAATACGAAAAACATGAGGATCAAATTTTCCGAAGGAAAACAAGACATTTCCCGTCTATGCGGAAAACGCCATATGGATAAAAAATGAAGGCGTTCGGCTTTTTACGCGGCTATGCATGGATGCAACTATCCAAGCTTGATGGATGTGCGTGTTGCCTACGCCAAAATTGAAGGAGTTTTGGTTACCTTGAGGTGGATCCTCAGCAGTTTCACGATGCTAATGAAAACAGTCCTTTCAAGTAAAGTACCGCCTTCGTCTGCCAATTACTACCTAGAAAATGTGTTAGTTGTGTGTCCGAAATGCAACCACAAAAGCATGCAGAAGATGGCTATAGGACATTTCGCCAACATTTTTTTGTTCGCGCACCTGTTTTTTCCAGTAATTTACGTCCACGCGTTTTTTCAGCACGGGAGTTTTGGTCCACGTGCCGGTTGGGACCCAAAGTTAATTGGCCCACATGTAAATACAAACGAAAATTGCTCACGACGTTTTTGGATGAAAATATATAATGTCTTGGAAGAATGAGGGTTTGCTCGTTTTTTTGTTTTGTCTGTTTGGTCCAACGAAGAATAATATACAGTTGAGAGTTATGGTAAAAATGGGGGAGCGTCGATTCCATGAGACGAAATTCACCAAAACTCTATACACCTCTTTGGTGTAACAGGACTTGATTATCTTTCAAGAAATCCCCACCTTGTTATACCTGAACCAGATAAACCTCTATATTTGCCTCAGCTAAAGGCTCTTACATTTTTCTTGTGTACGATAAGTATCTTGATTTACTTGGCGAGGAAAGATCTGTACTTTTAAAGGATGCCTGTCATTCTTAATACGTTCAATTTCGTATAATACTGTGCAAAACCTCTGTTGTGAAATAGTTGCTTCAGGCGCCGCCGCACGGCGGGCGGGCGGGCGGCCGGGCAGCGGGAAACGCGCATTGGCGCCTACAAACCTAAGTAGATACTTCAAGCATTGTTCAATGCGTGAAGTATCCACTTAGGTTTGTAGGCGCCAGTGAGCCTTAGCACGCCGCTCCGCTCTGTTAGGCTTTAATATTTTGGCAATTTAACTCATGATTTTGAAATGTTAGCAAACTCTGCATTGATTATTCTTATTTAAATTGATGGTAAAAAATATGTATCAATTTATCAAAGGAGAATAATAATATAATGTGTGTTTTTTAATTATTGGTGGTTCCGTGTCAAATTTAATGATTTTCAAAGCCCTTTAATTTTTTCTTTTACATTTTGTGCTTTTATTGTTCTGCAGCGAGGTATACGCGCAACGAAACGCTCAATATTGAACGTATTTGACTCTAAATGATCGATGTGCAAATGGGTTAAAGCCAAAGATTTAAAAAGAACGGAGGCTTCTTTCAACATTTTCCGGTCAGACACTTCTGAGCCCGTTTCCTCAAAACTTCATTTTTGCACTTACTGCTCTCTTCGCTATCACGGAAGTACGGTGAAAGGGCCGACAAAATTCGGCCCCTGCCATCTCCAAATTCATCAGTCAACGGGACGGGAAACATTCAAGTGAGTCAAGGGGAGCTGTCAGAAACGGAACTTATTCGCTCCGTTTATTTACCTCTCCCGAAATTTTCGCGGTCACGCCGATGTCAGCAGATTCGTTCTGCACTATCACCGTCTGATTGATACCTGGCGCTTTTCTTCTGCGGAGCGGATCGGCGCGGGCGGAGCAGCGTTGCCGCGCCGTCGCTTCGGCGCGGAAAAGCGCGGAAAAGCGCGGAAAATCGGCGGGAAATCCGCCTTCAACCGACAACACGAGTGGGCCACGCTTTGAGGCGGAAAACGGGGCGCATAGAGTCGCGACCTTGAGTGCAAGCCAGTGCAAGTTCGAATCGCAACTTTGTTGCACTCGGCCACGGAGTTGTCAAATGATATGCATTCCGTTTTGCAATAATGGCTTAGCGATAGAAGCTTTTATCTGCATAGGGACAACACAAAGAATGTAAAAGCAGCCCGAAACGGAAACGACAATCGAAAACACAGGAAAATGCGGAAACAAGGCTAAAATACAAAATACAAAGGCAGGACGTTTCGGTACCTTACGGCACCATTATCAACTGCTAAAATAGAATTAAAAATAAAAAAGGAATTAAATTAAAACTAGGGGCTTATGGGGCTGCTTCGCAGCCCCTTA